CTATTTACACCTGAATATATGATGCTAACTTGTTGGCTAGGGTATTAGGTATTCTGCTCTCATTATTTGCATGTTATCTTAATTGATTTTTATGTTTTGAACTTAGTGTATTACTTTCTTCCCTTATTCCTTACAAGTTGCTAAATTCTTTGTTAATTTTCAGGCTAAAAATCAGAAGATTGGAGAGAAGCCACTTCTTTCTGTATCCAGCTTTGTATAGGTAAAGTTGCCACATTTTCCTTTTTGAGTCAACATATTATGCAATGATTAGGCTTCTTCCAACAACAAAGTACTCATTGTATTCTTAATTATTCCAAATTCTACTTTATGCTAGCTATAGAATGCTTAAAAGTTAAAATTTTATACTATATCTTATAACCTATAGAATAAGTTCAGTTTTTTAAAAAGCAGCAACAAAGCTCATGCTCATGTCTTTATGTCTGCCATGGTTTTCTGCAGGCAACTCGCAACAATGTGCTTCTTGCTGTTCCAACATTCCTCTATGCTATTAATAACTACCTAAAGTTCAGTAGCAACCTCTTTCCATGCCCTGCCGCCTCTCAAAGTTCTTGCATTCAGGTTATTCTATTAGAAAGGAAATTGTCAAAGGAGAATTTAGTCATTGGTTTCTTTTAATGTTGTACATGTTTTCTTTTCAATAAAAAATATTATGCAATATTAGCAATGTGTTACATTTACTTACTATTGGAATGATTATTTGTATTTGATATATTAGTTCAACGAATTATCTTTATTGTTTATGTTATTTTATTTTGTATTATGATACTTTTAATGTATTATTTAATTCGAAAATTAGTAAGTCTATCAAAAATATATAATTTTAAAAACATTTATAATTATGACATGCAAAACTGTGTGTCGTCTTTCTTTATGGCATGAGCTTCCTTGATATGCATTGCGTGTCATAAAGAGGCGCATCGTAAGGTTATGACACGTAAATTTGTGTCGTCTTCCTTTATGACATGGACTTCCTTGATACACATTGCGTGTCATAACTACGCGTCGTAAATATGTGTCATAAATGCACGTAGTAAATAGACGACGCACAAAAGTGTGTCGTCTCTTGTTATGACAGGGCCTTCCTAGACATACATTTGCGTGTTGTCTGAGCGTTTTACGACACACATTGCACGTTGTGAAAGTCTGTTTTTCTAGTAGTGATCAACTATACCTCAATACCTTTTCATCGTCTTCGTACTAGATTTAAAACTAGGAAAAGCGTTCTGATACCGACAAGAATGAGAATTGGATCATCATGTTAGAAAGTAGATGAGTCGCCACTAGTAATCACTGAGATACCATTGGCAAGCATCCCCGATTCAACTCACGAGGAGACACGGAGGTTTAACCCATATGTGAGACCTTATTTCTACGCTATGATTTAGCACTAGGTTGTTTCCACCTTGAGCTTAAAACATAACATAGGATATTCCTTTGACCTCTATTAAAGGTCATAAACTTCATTAACACCATCAAATGTTTTACAAATAATTTTTATTGTCCTTTATCTTGGGGGAAAACACATCGGTACTCGTCTTATACTTGCCTTGTACTCGCTCTAGTATTTAGGTATAATCAACTACACTAATCTACCTATTCCATACTTCTTAATATTCCATCAAAAAGTTATTTCGCTTCATCAGTTTTACTTATCATCAAAAGACTTTATAACCACTTCATACAACTTCCTAGACGTTTCTTAAGAATGTAAGCCATATTCTTGCTAAAATCTCTTAACAACTTGCTTTAACTTAACACTTTTCTTCAAAACTCAATTTAACCAACATTGGTTCCTTGCTATTTCAATTTCATTTAAAATCCACTTCAATAGATATATGTGCTTTTTAAGGGAATATAAACCATTTTCAACCTTGCTTAGCATTTTGTCACGTTTTTGAAAAAAAAAACTTAGAAACATTTGCTTTTATAAAAGTGTTGAAACTATATTATATAAAACTTAAATATATGAAGTTGATGTTCATGACACGGGTAAAAGCTTCACCAGATTTATAAACCACTTTTCTTTTGACATTTTGGACCACTTTCTCATTTAGGCATTGTACATTATTTAAATGTGTTTTCTTGAAACCCAACATGGTATTTTTAAAACCTTTTACTTGAAACATGTTTACAAGGCATCGCTAATGCCTAAATTTCAAAACATACCTCATTTATTTATTTTATTTCAAACTTGTTTTATAAACTTTAAAGTTTCTAAAACTTAAAACATTGCAAAACTTAGTGTTCACTTTTGAATTTCCAGTGACACACTTTCAACAATGTATAATTATTCTTTTAAATATACTGAGTTTTACCTTATCCGTTTTAACCATTGTTAGACTCCAGTCAAAAAAGGTCAAAACTAGTAGATTTTCAATTACAAGTTTTAATGCTCCTTAGTTTTCACAAATAGAGTTTAACTTAATTGATAACTCACGAATTATTAGCAAACACTTTAAAACTTCCACGTGTCTATGTAATCATCAACATACATCAAGGATTGAATTTTGATATATATATATATATATATATATATATATATATATATATATATATATATATATATATATATATATCAACCTAAGTTTTAAATCTACATATAATTATTGATCTTAAAATTATAACAACAACAATCATTGCCGTCACTACCTTCCTTTTTCTTCCACCACACTTGAATTCTTTCTCTCCTTCTAATTTTAGATCTCGCACACCCATAATAATATCATAAGACATTGTCTAATTTTGTTACCGTCTATTTTGCTTCTCTTGGTACCATGTTCGTACACATAAAGATTAGAAGTTGACCATTTCGTTTTAAGCGATTAATACGTGTAAAGTCGTGAGGCATAATTATGATTTAGTCAACTTTGATATATTCAATTACGTCTTCTATCATATACATTTTATTTTTATTTTGAAATCTAGTATAAACAAGTAATCCTTATTTGTATTTGCTCTTTTGTTCTAAATTTAAAATTTTGATTTAAAATGTAATTTTCATTGTATTTTTTCCTTAAAATCAATACACCTGATGAATACCCCTGCTCTTATCATTTTTCTAAATCCAAAAAATATATGTGTATAATATATTTTCTTTTGTTACATTTTTTCTCTAAAAACATAAAAAGTTTTAAATATGATGATTATATACCCTTAAAATGATTGTTTTTAGTAGAATCACTGAATTAAGAATGCACTATTTTCAATGGTCGATATTTTTACACCTTTCTTACAATAGCATTCTACTTTAAAATCTCTAGTGAATTCCTAAACTCTCACACTTGTTTTAATTAATAAATACCCCGACTCCTCTTAAGCTTGTATTTGTCTTGACTTAGACAATTGTACAATTTTTCACAAGAATAATCAAAATATTTATGTATAAATTCCCTTATTGATGACTTAAACCTTTAACCTTAATAAGTATCTATTTTATCTTACTACTTTGTTTGATCGCTACACATGTATCTTCATTCTCTTGGAATTATCACACATGTTTAATAATAGTGAGATTACTTATCAATTCTAGACTCTCAAAATCCTACCTAGATAATGTGATTTAAAATATCATAAACTTTCACTTGCTTCATTAGAAACAATAACTCTCTAAATATATTCTTCAAATATGGTTTTATTATAGTAAGAGTACCCATAGTAGAAATTATAGCTTCGGAAATCCTTGATCATTTCGTAATTTCTTTGGTAGACGGAACATAAATAGCATTTACATTTGAGAACTACCAAAACTTCGTTGCCTACCCTTAGTACGTATCTTTAGGAACTTACCCTTGATCACTTCTCTTTAATTCGTGCTACCCCTTCTTATTTCAGAATATATATTTTCTAGATCTAGTAGCCAACCCGGAAGTGAACAAATTGTTCCTAATCTATTCTTT